TCATTCATTCAATTACTAGTATTTATAAATTTATTGGTGGTGGCACAATTCACTGAAGATCACAAATTAATATGTAAATTAGATCATTTAAATAATGTATTTATCACTTTCTTATGGTTATTAAAAGTTGGTATGTTTATATGTACTGTAAACCATAATTGTAGTTGCTAGGAATTTCCTGATTTGATGATTTAATGGCATAGAAAGACAAGAAAGTGAAATGTTCACAACTATAGAAATCTCTTGCTGTTATAAATGATGTACAGAGGCATACTAGTATACTACTTGTAGTATAAGTATTGTCAGTTATAAATGATGTCCTATAAATTATATGAGTACTTTGTATTTTGTACTTGGCAGGATAGATTTACAACCTTCTGCAGTGACAGATTTAGAGAAGGCGCAGAAGCCCCCCCCCAAAAAAAAAAAAACGTCGTTACACATATATCTATAGCAAAGTGTGGGTATGTGAGCTTATAAATTACACTAGTGGGTTCATGAAAAGTAAAAAAGACAGTGTTTCTTTCCACACGAAGAACGAAACACGACTATTTAACAGTCGTCAATGGATATCTCTTCAATGTTACGTTTACTCACGTTGCTGAGCACACTGCCCGAGGATTCTTTCCGCAAAATTCTGACGTACATTTTGGTCTGCATAAACTTGGATCGTCAGACACTATCACTGTCGAGTCCGTTCCTGTCAACATAAAAAAAACATGCAGTGTTTTATAATGAAATTATTAACATGCATCCTTAAAAATGCCCAGAAATTATTTATTCGTGTTTTGGACATCGAAAAGACACGGTGGATAATTTGTTTTAAGATTAAATTAGACAGATTTGCCGGAGTAAACAGTTTGGGTATGTAATTAGAGATCGATGTATGTTCTTTTGTATAGTTTCTGTTTCCGTTATCTGAAATAATTACCAATTAACGGACTATTCAGTAGCGTATTATGTACCTTGTAGTTTGATGAAGGGATGTTATTGACGTACGACTTATCTAATAGCATCTTGTTATGGACACCACCTCCCGCTATCTGAGATACCGTAACGCATGTACTAAATGCTTCTCCGTTAACTCTGTCGAGAGGTGTTGAATGAACCATGTACAGTCACCACGCTTGGTTAAATGAGGTGACAATCATCGAGTAAATGATGTAATTTATTATTACTGAAGTACTTACTTGACCGACACACTCCAGGAAGCGGATTATAATATCCAGGCGGAATATTAGGATTTGCTGGTTTCACACACTCCAGTCCGAAGTCGCACTTTCCTAAACTTCCCCACTTGCCACCACAGCTTTCTCCTTCCACGCTTGCACACGCTGGGCAGCAATCGCATGTTCCCGTTGTCACACCTCCTCGACACTTGTTTTCTAGCCGACTCGGCTTCCTGGGCTTGCAGAGCATGCGGTCGCATGGTGGACAATGTAGACCATCGCGCTTTCCTTTATCGCCATAGCTGTCCACATTTTGTATAGCCAATAATAATATTACTGTTAACAGTGTCGTAACTGTGCTGTCCATTATGCTTAGTTATATGGAGACCTCGGCGTGGATGGAACACGAACAATTCTGACAAGATACGTCACTTCGTAGAAGTACGGACTATGCACTCGGCTGATAAACAATTGCTCGCTGTACTCGGTTTAGCTTAGTTTTGGCGTGGTTTGAACGTACGCAAAGCTTATATACATATCGATCGGACTTGAGTATATAAAGTCAGGGCAATATGACCCCTGTACCTTATTGAGTCAACCGACACCAAAATATTGCCAAACTCTGTTTGACACAAATCAGAACCCTTCAACGAATCGCGATCGCTAATTCCCACATTAGCTGTCAAACAATTGACCAATGAAGAGCCGATTCCGTGTGAAACGGAACAATGTAGCATAGTTTGGCGTTGATGATTCGATGGTGCCTCCCCCTTTGTGTTGAGTATATTGAAAAAAACTGCAATCTTGTTTCTCTTCTCACAAGACAGCTATGTCAGATAGTTGTTTTTTAAAACTGTTTACTCACTTTTCAGTGTTTTGGTCTCCTGTCGTCGCCTGTTTTATGTTGGGATTTCACAAAGTCGTCCGACAGACAATCACGCTATACAACATTGCTATATAGCCGTACTAATTTCTCGAAGTCATGCACGTCCAATGTAAACGCAGTCATGGGAAACTTGCCAGCGACTTCAATCCGGCTCATTTGATATTTTTTGCTGAGATCATCCTTTTATGAAATAAAACAGCTCCATGATTTTCAGTACATTTGGTCAAACATTACATCTATTTTAGCATTTCAATAAAGTCATTGAAGACCGCATATATAGCGTCGAAGGCGGTTTCTTTCAACCTCGGTCCTGTTCAAACGATGAGGTTTTACATAGCTTGTTGTATTTGGATTGGTATAAGTTCACGCTTGAATTACTTTCAACCAATCCATGATTCTCTTATAAAGCCTACCCTGTCACCACCTAATTAGAGATGTATATATTTTCTCGCAATACGGTCCCGCCTATGTAATGAGAGGTGCGACCCCATTGAAAACACATTCCTCACAAGAGTAAACAATTGTCGCAATGCGCGTGATTTGCACAGGAAGTATTGAACTTTCAAGTGTTTTGTTATACGCGTCATAATCGCCGTTGATCATTGATTTTGAGACGTACTCGTAAACTTTGGTTTCAACTAGTATTTGCTGGCACTGTGTCCTTATTTATGCATTAATTTTTAATGTGGTAAGTATTTTTTTTTTGTTCTACAAATTATTTGCTCTTTGTGAAATAAAATTATTTATAAAAATGGTCAGTTGACTGTGTTTTTATCTGCATACATAAAGGCTACAACACATGCGAGGGACGAGAATTCTAATTATAATACATTCCAGGAATGTCTAAAAAGAAGAAACATTTAATTTGGAATAGAAACGCCATGTATGCCATGTATACGATCATATTCACTGAAAAAAATGACTTGTTTGCACATGGCTTTAGACAGGTAGTAACTCGAATGAGGGGAGGCAAGGGGGGGTAGCTGGTACGGTTTTACGGGAAATAAAAAGGGCTTTTCACAATTTACGAAGAAAAAAAGACGTTTTTACAGTTTACAGTGTTAACAAATGTAACATTGAATGGTCCGAAGAGCTCTCCGACTCAAATTCTCCACCATTGCTGCGCCGTGTGAAGAGACGCATGCGCATATTACCCTCGTAATGCTCTTCATTCGGTTAGAGGGCCTTTTACGTCTTGACATTCAATTTTGTAGTGAATTGTGCCTTCTAGTCGTTTTACAGTTTCTAAAATGTAATTTCCCTGGATTATTCTTTACGATTTTTTTATTTGGATCTGAATTTTTGTACGTACGAGAAAAATGACACATTTTTACAGTGTACGAAAAAAATATTTGATTGATTACGTTGTACGTCTAGCCTGTGATTACAGAATTACGGAATTTATTTTTTGTATTTACGTTGTACGAAGAAAAAAATATTGCAATTACGTTGAACGAAAATAACCCTTGCCCCCCCCTTGAATGTGATAAAAATCTGATGTAATTAGAATTTCATGTGCCGATGTACGTCGTTTAGCTACATGACCAAATGAATATGGACATTTAATTAATTGGCTGAGAAAGAAGCTGCCTAAACGAGATTTGTTCTCGTCATTTAGTCAAATTACAGTCGCAGTCACAGTGGAGACATTTTGATCAAATGTACTTACAGGCGACCATCTTCTACTTTACAGTGTTCCTAAAAAATGCTTACCAGAGAAAGTTATATTCGAACCTATATGAACCCAAGTAATTGGACGATGAAAGTGATATGTATCGGCGATAAGGGCCTTTATCTACGTATCTCATTTGAGATTGCGCTATTATGAAAGTTGTTATGTAAGTACCCGAAACGCGACAAAGCCGTTCCTTTTATCTTTATAAATATTTATATTTTTCAAATGTAGATGATTCGTCATTTAAATCCACCCACACGAGGCAGAAAGTCGTGTTCACAAAGTGTGATCCCAACGATGGACAACGGTTACTGAAAAAGTTGTGTTTACACTGACCGCTTGTAAACTGGTTGGATATGGAGCGGATATGCTTACATCGTCTACTCGTAATCAGGGTGGGCACGATGTCGTGTTTACATTGTCTACTCGGTAACAAGCTGGGTACGGCCATGGATTGTAACAATGTTCACTCGTAAACTGGCGCTAGATCGGCACGGGCATGGTGTTGTGCTCTGTGCATTCGTGAATTGATTGGCTACGGACATCATCCACTCATCAACTGGATTGATATGAGGGCGGTGTTGTATTTACACTATTCATTCGTTAACTGTGTGAACACGGGCTTGATGTTCCGTTTACACTCTCCGCTTGTAAACTCAGTGGGTCGGTGCAGGGTACGGGTATAGTGTTGCGTTTACATTATCTACTCATGAAATGGGTGGGTGAGGGCATGATGTTGTATGTACTTGTAAACTGGTGGGTATGGATAGTGTCCTCTCGTAAACTGAGTGGAGACGGACATTGTTCACTCATAAAATGGGAGGTTAGGGACAATGTTCACTCAAAAACTCTGTGGGCACGAACAATGTTCACTCGTAAACTTGACTGAACAAGAAATAAAGGATTGACTCCTAATACAAAATCTATTTTTACATAAATTGTGTGAAATATTTTTCCAGATTTTTTTGTCTGTTATTGATTCCTGTAGGCTGTGTTTTCTTTTGCTTTTATTTCCATTTCTGCCATCACCGTGTTTCTAATAGACCGGCCCTTTAATAGAAATGTGTTTATATTTTCTATATATATATTTTTTTTAGAATTTTCGAAACTTTTGTTTGGCACAGTCTCGTTCATTGTGTCAGAATACACAGAACTGCATCGTTTCAAAAACTTGAATGGCCCTGGATATAACCAAACTAACGATCCATAGGTTCAGTGTAAAAAGGTACAATATACATGTATTTCGTCGAAAGATAAATTTACCGTAATTTAAGTTTTCAAATTCCATTAAATTGCGACGAAATGTCATAAACCAACCGTAACATCGGCCACGATTGATTAACGTATTGATTCATGAAATGTGTACCACCAGAGATTACCCAGGAGAATCAAACATAAATCATTGTTATTCAGAATGTTATTACATTAACGTGTTTATACTCGGAAAGGAGCAACTGGAATTGTCCAAAAACAATCTCATAGACCTACACTTCGCAAAACACCCACAACTTGTATCATTGAAATTGAAAATCAATACCAAGAAATTTAATTTAAATTATTTCACCATATTAAATAAAGTTTAAAATGAAGAGAAATGAAAATACCGTTAGTTAGATTTTGTATAATGAGAATGACACGCTTGAATATTTATTTCACATGTGGATCCACAACAAGATTCAAGTTTTTGTTTGGAACTACATATTTAATCACAATGATATTATATTTAATGACATTACTTTATCTAAATTACACTTGCTGGCAAAGATAATTGCCGGCTAGATGCACAATCATTTGGGGGAACCTTAAGGGTAAACCGAAGGCCCGACCGTATTCATATCTATGTTATTTCTGGCAACTGTATTGCGCGTAAATACGGGGTGGTCTAACTAAATTGGCAGTTAACCAACTCACCGGAACCTCCATTATAACCCGTATACGGACGCATACGTCGTGCGCAAATTACCGCAGCATCAATCAACAGAAAAAATAAACCGAATCAAAGCGGAAAGATGAAAGATACACCGGAAATCCCGAGAAATGGACGAAGTCAAATAGTTTTGTCATTTTTCACTGCGGCTGTCTTTGCTTTGGTCTTTACTTCCATTATGGATGCATGATTAATGAAAGTACTGGTTATTTTAAATCATTCTTATGTGTGTTTGTCTCCAGCTAAAAGTCGGTGTTCTATTTAGAGTCGACACTCAGCTGCCCTTCGGCAACCATCGAAATGTGGAAACTACCCTCTGACCAGTCAATACATTTATAGTAGACTTGTGGTTCAAATACGTATTAATATATGCGCGAACAGTGTTATATACAACGTAGAGCGTGTAGATTGCATTCTCAGGACAATGAGTTGTGTATTTAGCAGCTGATTCCAAGTTGGCCAGGTATAGTTTGAAATTTTAATACCAGAAATCAGAGAATGCATAAGCCATAGACAAACTGTTACAATAATTATTGAAAGCACATAGACCAGAGAAACACTTTGGTCTCAATATACTGGGCTAGTAGAGATCTGAAATAAGAAAGGCGCACTGAAATGTTAAATTGTTTGTCGGAAATTCGGGAGAGATTGCATATTATTAATGGTAAAGCTATTAAGATTGACCCCCACAAACCCTAAATATTTCTGCTACCCTGCTGTAATCCACTAAAAAGGTACTGTGTTTTATACATGTAAAACATCACATGCCAAATAGAAGTCGACCATAAAGAATGTGTAAGTTCTCTGTTCAATTATTAGTCGACTTAGACGCTAATACTTACTAAACACCAGTATCTAAAACTTAAATTATTATTCCACTTCGGCCTAAACTAGGTATCCATCACGGTTGATTGTTTGTTTGTTTGTTTTAATACTTTAATGTGTACCACTTTTGAAGACAAATAAATTTATTTTCATCCTCAGGCTGTGTAGGTAGGAACTGTGACTCATCTATGGGCTGTGACAGATTTTAAGGCGATGCAGCTAAAATTTCAGGCGAAGTCCCATACGCCTAATTTGGCATATGTAAAAAGAGGTAACTATAAATAAATAACTATACGTTTGCCAAAACGCCGTTTTAATGTATCGAAGAATTTGATGTATGTGTAAAATTGTCGTTGCTTAACAATGTTTGAGAACTTGTTTTTAATAAACGAATACATAGCAACGATCACAAAAACAGAGCGCCGAGTGAATCGGCCAAGAACCCCAACTGTCTTAAATACACCGTTGAGGGAAGTACACATAAACTAGAGTGGAAACACATTAGAAGTCATACGTCTGAGGGCCAGTATATTATTAAAGCCAAGATGCAGTATTAAAGCGGGGAGTCGTCATCTGCGCATGCGTCAGATGACCATACCGTGTCATTGTTTATAAACAAGCGTCTACCAAAGAGCCTTTGCGTTTTTAGCGTGTGTTGTTATTATCGCTTGGAACTCAATTCCCGAGCGTGCGCAAGTGACGACCCTTCCGCTTTAATAAGTAAATCTATAACACATAAACCTACGGGGACTGTGATTCAGTTTCAATTATCAAAAAAAATTGGTAAATTTTCTATTCTATTCTTTCTATTCTATTTTATTCTATAACTTTTATTTATTTATTTATTTATTTATTTATTTATTTATTTATTTATTTATTTATTTATTTATTTATTTATTTATTTATTTATTTATTTATTTATTTATTTATTTATTTATTTGACACACCACTGACAGCAATAAGGTCATATACAAAACAAATAAAGGTACAGTAGAAAAAAAAGGCAAATACATGTAGAAACAAATACTGTAAAACGCTTTCTCTATACACTGGTTAGTTGTTGCTATCTTGAAAAAATCATGCCGTTGTCGTTAATCACCAAAATTAATTGTCTTCTCTTTCTATATTCTCTTTCTTGTCTTCACTGATTATAATTGTTCAACTTTTTCTACTTTCGTGAGGCATTTTTCTAATTTCATTTCATATCTGAAATTCCTGTAGGTTGCGGTTCCATTGCATTATAACAGTTGGTGTTTATCTGTTTGTTTATTAATATTTAATACATGGTTATAATGTTTAATTAGTTTTCTTTAATAAATACATAGATAGCAAAAGTCTGCATATCTACCGTTATGAACGTATTTATAAACAATCCAAAAGGAATCGACTGTAGTCTGTAGGCACTAACACGACCCCATATTTCACAACAAATACGTAACAATCGGAGGAATGAGTTTGTCAAACAAGGAGAGTGAAAATATATTTTGTTTATGGCCAATTTTGACTTTCAGAAATAATTTTTTTGATCCTTTTTTCATGATTAGCATGACCCCTTTAAAATATTGGCTTAAACGTATAGATGCAATATTGTTGTTTGATACTTAATGTAGGTGAATGCTGAGAGATGATTTTGTCATGACGTGAAACGCTGTGTTTGTAGCACACAACTCAGTAGTCGTTCGAATATTGCTGTGCGTCCTGTAAACTCAACATCATTATAAATCATAATTCGATTTGACCTTTAGTATGAAGTATCCAACAACAATATTAAAATATATAATATATGTGTTTCTTTATATTACATTTAATACTACTGCCATATAAGGGACGACTGACCTGACTGTCCATCAATTAAGGATCATGCATGTATTCGGATCGAAAATAGAAGGAAAATCCTTAATGAATAAAGTTTGACTCAAATGACACCCCTGTTTTACGACTGAATGGGATTTAGATGACTCATGATCAATTATACCATTATGTTTTGTACCTATTTCCCTTAATACCATATATTTTAGTTTCATATACCCATTCGTCCCAGATACTGTTAAAAACTTTGCATAAGTCAAAATTAAAAGAAATCTATGTTGAAAAAGTTTGGCTACCAGCAGTTCAGACAAACCAAAATTACAATAAATTACGTACAGTGTCAGTTCAAACCTACATATAAATTTGAACCATATTTGAATCAAGTAAAAAATGCACAACATAGAACCAGCTTCACCAAATTTAGGATATTTGCACATACCCTACCAATTGAAAAAATTAGATATCAAGGGATACCTCAAGAGGAAAGAAAGTGCCAGCTTTGTAATAATGGGGCTATTAGCAATGAAATCCATGCACTTTTAGACTGCAGCCATACTGGAATAACAAATGCTCGTACTGAATTTCTGTATGCAGAAATTTTAAGTTCGAGAGATAGGTTCATTGCCAATAGTGCTAGCAAATTTATTGACAGCATATTATTTTACTATAAGTAATTTTACTTAGACTTTAGTCTTTTATGTATTTTCTTTTGTCTCGTGTGTGTACTTGTGTTTTATTATATTTAATGTCTTTTTACCACAGATACTAAATGTTTTTCATCTTTCAGCTAAAAGTGCATTTTCTGTAGGGGATATTCCGCAGCGACCCTATTCAATGTTTATAAGAATGTGAATGTGAGCACCTATTCCAGTCTGAATTTTGTCAACGCAGCACATTGGTTCAATTATGCAGTCATCAGCCGAGTCATGCATTTTTTAGTTCTCTGTATGTTCTTGTTTTTATGATTTCATCATTATGGCATTGATTGTTTACTCATACAAAATTATACCAAATTATACCCGGATCTTACTAGAATAGGTCACAATAGCAGCAGTTTTTCTTTTGGTATTGTTCTATAGCTGATGATGAATTCCACTGTGAGAATAATTTGAACTCCGCAAAACGAAAGAGCGCCGCTTGTGGTGACACGGTGACGGTGACCTTATAACGACGATGACGTTAGTCTTTTGTTCAGATTCGGTTTAGGGTTACTGCAATTTCGCTTTCTCAACAGAACACATGTGCTCAAGAATCGTCTGATTGTTAGTGTTAATCGCTTTGCAGTTATGGATATTGTACATGACACCAGCGAACGTACTTATTTTCGCTATTGACACGCAGATACAACAGTGGCGAAGACAGTGAATACTAGTCAAAGATCAACCCGAATTCGAGACTAACTACAACAACATGACCTCCTTGGCAACATAAAACGACGCTAATTTTGTGATTGATACATTAACCGGACGAAGTTGGAAAATGTACTGATAAGAATTTTCGAAAAATAGTTCTCCTCTGTGACAAGACTGTGAGAATCTCACTCACAGACTCGCCAAAACCTTCATTGGATTAGAAAGCGAACTCGATCACTTACTCGTTGGATTGGTGCCCTGTTTGTATACAACAGCTGATAGCTCATTCGACTTCAGGACGTTCAGTTACCAGTAACAATTTTGAAAAGAAAAAAAGATACTACGGTAACGAATCAGTGTTCTACGGATTTGGGGAGTTACGCGAACATGGCGACTAATGACCCAATGTTTGACCCCAGGGTCTTGGCACTCATGGCGAAAGTCGGTGGTCAATCACAAGAGGACCAACAACGAGAAGAAGAGGAAAGAAAGAAAAGAGAAATGAAGAAACCAACCCCGCCTTCAGATGTAGATGCTTGGATGAAAAGTGAAGGATTTGTGAGTGTTGAGTATTAATTTTCTTTTTAAAAAAAAATTAATTGTTGTTTTATTAAAAAACAAGATCCATTTTGGTGCTCTGTAAAATCTTAACTTTTATTTGGGGGGGGGGGGGTAAACGATGTAAAATCATGGGAGTGGCTGGGAGAGTGACCAGTGCAATTTTTTTGCAATGTTTTATTTCTACATTTTCCCCTGCAATTCCATGTATGCAATTTTTCTGTCTGAGTGTCTACTCTTCAATTATTCCAGCCACCTCCATTATTTCAAATAGTCAATCCCTTTGATATATACATATTATTTTATTTTTAATATCTGTATTTCTTGTTATTGTGTTGTTGTTTTTTTGTGTATGATTATTGACCATGGCTAATGTATTTCCAATTCATTAATTTGAGTCAAATAAAATAAAATATACTATATACATACTACATAAAGTATGTGCGAGATGTCATGAAGATTACAAGCAAATTGAAAAAGGTCACAACATCGCAAAAGAAATTCCATTTCTAAGAATCCTAATTAAAATTAGTGAGTCTGTGTAAGAATTAATTTGCATTCATCTCTGATAGTTTTGGATAGTGTCAGTTTTATTCACAAATTTTTATTCACATGCATTTTGAATGCCACAATATTCTCACTAATTTATGTTTATGCATTCTGTGATGCTATTAGTTACAAATACGTGCACAAAATAGGATCACTTTCAAATGTTTGCAAATCGCAAGAGTTCACTTTTTGTGAGATTTTCATCACATATCACTGTGCATGGTTTTGAAACTACATACCATTACGTTATAAATCATTGAGAACATATATTAGGATATATATTGCTTTATTAAGGTAGTGAGATGGAAAGGAAGAATATTTTGACCAATCATTGTGATTGCGTGTTTAACATCTCGTAATGCAGATTAAATTAATTGTGAATGTTGTGAATATATTTTTATGTTCATAAAACTTAATACCCTAATGTGCATATTGCTGATCTGAGATTTTTTGTGTGAAAATCATTGTATTATTTGATTTAGTCTTGGAATGGATTATGAGATTTGTATGTTTATAAAGAAATACACTGTTATGACTAACATTGAACTGCTAGTCATTCTTTTTGACTCCCGTGTGCGAAGCACAAAAAAGGAGATTTTGCAGTGAGTGTGTCTGTCTGTGTGTCTCTGTGTGTGTCTGTTCCACTGCTATCTCAAGAACCATACGTCAGTTTTTGATGATTGATTGATTGATTGATGAAACTTGATGCATAGATGCTCTGGGCCAATGTGCAGATTTGATTAGGTTTTGGTAAAATCCATGCATATTAATTACCTAATTTGCATAATGATTAGTAAATTTTTGGCTTTAATTTCCACTGATATATAATCTCAAGTACTAGTCATCACATTTCAATAAAACTTGGTACATATATATCATACAACACTGCACAGACCTGATAGTTTTTAGGGTAATATTAGTACATATTAATTACCTAATTTGCATAATTAATTAATTTTCAGCTTTTGATATTCCAAGTAATAATCATCACATTTCAATAAAACTTGGTATAGTTACTTAAGGACTGTGCAGAGTCCTGATTAGTTTTGGGGTAAATATTTGTGCATATTAATTACCTAATTTGCATAATTAGTTATTTCCCCCCATAAGTGTTCCACTGATATATAAAGAACCACTAATTGAATTTTAAAATCATCATCACATTTCAATGAACCTAGGACTAAGCAGAGACCCGATTAGTTTTTGGAAAATATTTATGCTTATTAATCACCTAATTAAAATAATTAATTAACACTGATATCTCAATTACTAATCATCACATTTGAATAACATTTGGTACATAAATGCTTTAGGACAATAGACAGGCCCGATTAATTTTGGGTTGAAATTTGTTCATATTAATTCTCTAATAATAACTCATAGTTTTTTTGTTCTAATCACATTTCAATTAAACTTGGTACATAGAAATTACATTACGCAGGTCTTATTAGTTTTACACTCAAATCTGTTCATATCAATTATCTGATTTTTTTTTTGATTTTTTTTTATATTTATTGGAATCAAGTAATAATTACATATCAGTGTTACCTATCTATTACAGTATCTATTGACAGTGATAAGTACAAGTGGTATACATACATAGTATATCTAATGAAATGATAAGTACAAGTAGAATACAGAGATAGGTTATGGCTCAGCAAATTGCTCATTTCTTGAAACAATCTTTTTTAGGTATTTACCCCACTTCCTATTATGCGAGTTTAATTTGCCATTTTTGTTAGCAATAATATATTCAATGTATTGAATCAATTATCTGATTTACATACTGTAAAATGACTAATTTTCACTGGGTTTAAATTTCACTGATTTACCATTCCAGGCATATTCAGTAGGTTTTAAATTCATGTTGTTATAATTTAGATAATGTGTTCTACGTTCAATTTTACATATTCACTGGGTTTTAATTTAGCGCATTTTCCAGTCAGCGAAATAAGCAAAATTAAAACCCAGTGGATAATTAATCCTTTCACAGTAATTAGTTTTCAGCTATTCCATCAATATCTCAAGTACAAGTAATTTTGAATTAATTTTTAATGTGTCTTCAATACTCTCAGCATACGGGAGTTCTTTCTAAGCTTTCTTTGATTCAATCTTGTGATTGCGAAAGAAAAAAACCTGTTAAACCTGTACTCTACTGGGAAAAATAAATAAAATATAATTAAAAAAAACAGTATTTTGTTACGAGAAACATTTTTTCCTTGGACTAATTGTTTATTAATATTTCAGGATGAATGGCCAATGAGAGTGACATCAGAAGGACAGATGGGTCTTGAAGATGAAAGAAAAATGATTGGTAGCAAAGATAATATTGTTGATGAACTTCGCAAGCATGCACGTATCCTTCACAATTACACTGCTATATAGGTACATGTATACACTAGAATTATGATTGTCCAAATAATTGCTATCTTTATGGCCTCTTTCATGGTACGCATACAAGGATTCTCAAAGCGAATATAAGCGCTGGTAGCTAGAGTGACAATGATAGTAAAACTGATACTCCAGAACATGCATTACATGTTATCAATATTAGCAACACTGATTCCAGCTTAACTGCTATCTAATTGCTCTTTTGCCCACAAATGCAAACGGTTAGCCAATGTATGCAGGATATGCTCAATTACAGGTTTCTGTTTTGTTACAATCACCACCAGAAGAAGACAATTATGTCAGCCTCTATTGAAGTAAACATTGGCTTTGTGGCAAATCAATTCATCCAAAGGCTGAAGTGAGGTGTATTACAATCACCTACTCATTACTTCACTGAAACACCATACCTCAAAACAGTATAATAACAAATGTATATATTGTGATAGTACACTGTAAAGTACACAGATTTTTGTCAACACAGGTGGTTATATCTCCTTAACAAAACTATTTCAGCTCTTCCTGTCAATTTGCTGGATGACTTGGAAGAAAAACTAAACAATTTAGAAAAAAGGCTAAATGTATATACAACAGAGATCCTAACTGATGAACCAAGAACTTCTAGAATCAATCAGAATCTTTTCCACTCTCCAGAATATGGTATGTTTTTCAAGATTTGTCATCTGTTAGGTAGTTTACTTTAGCTATGAAGCATCATGCAAAAATGCACATTATTTGCTGCTATATGTGTCCAAGATTGAATTCCTCTATTTAATTATTGCAATACATTGATTTACAGAAACACCAATAGTTATTCAGACAAGTTTATGTAACTTTGTTATGAGGCTATTCTAGGCAGGCCGAATAAATTTACATTCAAATAACCAGTGTTCATTCCAGTGAAAATCATGGGAACTACTGCAACACTCGTTTCAGTATATGATACACCTGTATATTTACGCCAGCTGATTGTGAACATTTTTATTTCAGCCATGTTTTGTATTTTTGCTCAAATATTCATAGAACAGATATGCACTTTACATGAATGACCTTTTAAAAAATAATCCAGTGAAAACTGAAAAAGTTTAATAGTATAGTGTTAAATGTATTTTGTATGCTGTATATTATTTCTATTTTGAAAACAAAAGCTAAAAATCAGAGGATGTTTCAAAACCCTGCCACTGATACAACTGTCATGGATACTACTGATGTAATTTTTTTTTTTCTCATTCCCCTTTTTAAATTCATCATATTTTCCCCACATTCACTCATTTACTGGCTTCTTAAATTCATTTATAATGGATGAACAGGAGTGTCATCACCATTAACTCTCCTTTCCCATTCCCATTCCACTGATCATTCTCTCACAGGACTAAAGTTCCAGCAAGGTGGGTGATAACAAGCAATCCATCATATCTATAGCTTTGCACATTGAACTGGCATATGGTGTTAGAAGCACTTTATTTTTGGCACTGTGTGTTTTTTTGTTTTTTACCTTAGCCATGTTATATGTCACCTGTTAACACAGTATTAGTCATTAGACAACCATTAGGAGTAGTTTTAATTAATGATAAATATTCAATAGACTTGCTGAATCAGGAAATTGTCAATTAGCAATTTGTAGTTGCACTAGACTTCATACAACTTAATAAATGTTGCTTCTTCATGTCACTTAAACATAGTAATGGCAAGTCTGAACTACTATAATGATAGTTCATGGCTGATCATGGTCACATAAAATCCAACAAAAAATGAAATAATGTATGGAATAAAATGTGGTTACCAATGTGTTGATATACAATTATAGACTGGTTTCCAGTCATCAAGCATTGTACAATTTATATTATCTGAATTCTTTCACGATGAACTATTGCTCTTATTTATAATGACCTTTATTTGCCACAATTCTAATGTCAATCTTAGCTTCATTATAGCTAGACCTATCTTAAGTTATTGATTGGCCAAGCTTTTCCTTTCTACTTCAGTTTGCCCAAAGCAGACTGTCTAGTCCTATCCATACACATAGTATTGGCTGACCCATAGTTAGACCACTATTTAGTTTTCCATACCAAGTTGCCCAAAGCTGGACAAAACTATGCCTATCAATAACTAGGCTAATATTGGTTGACCAATCAGTCTTCAGTCAGGGCTGGTTATATCAGGACCATACTTGGCCTATCCATATCCAGACTAGTATTGGCCAACCCATATCTGGACCAGTCTTGGCCAATCCATATCTAGACCAGTCTTGGCCAATCCGTATCTAGACCAGTCTTGACCAATCCATATCTAGACCATACTTGGCCAATCCATATCCAGACTAGTATTGGCCAACCCATATCTAGACCAGTCTTGGCCAACCCATATCTAGACCAGTCTTGGCCAATCCATATCTAGACCAATCTTGGCCAATCCGTATCTAGACCAGTCTTGGCCAATCCGTATCTAGACCAGTCTTGACCAATCCATATCTAGACCATACTTGGCCAATCCATATCCAGACTAGTATTGGCCAACCCATATCTAGACCAGTCTTGGCCAACCCATATCTAGACCAGTCTTGGCCAATCCATATCTAGACCAATCTTGGCCAATCCGTATCTAGACCAGTCTTGGCCAATCCGTATCTAGACCAGTCTTGACCAATTCATATCTAGACCATACTTGGCCAATCCATATCTAGACGAGTCTTGGCCAACCCATATCTAGACCAGTCTTGGCCAACCCATATCTAGACCAGTCTTGGCCAATCTGTATCTAGACCAGTCTTGACCAATCCATATCTAGACCAGTCTTGGCCAATCCGTATCTTGACCAGTCTTGGCCAATCCATATCCAGACTAGTATTGGCCAACCCATACCTAGACCAGTCTTGGCCAACCCATATCTAGACCAGTCTTGGCCAATCCATATCTAGACCAGTCTTGGCCAATCCGTATCTTGACCAGTCTTGACCAATCCATATCTAGACCAGTCTTGGCCAGTCCATATCTAGACGAGTCTTGGCCAATCCATATCTGGACCAGTCTTGGCCAACCCATATCTAGACCAGTCTTGGCCAATCCATATCTGGACCAGTCTTGGCCAATCCATATCTAAACCAGTCTTGACCAATCCATATCTAGACCAGTCTTGACCAATCCATATCTGGACCAGTCTTGACCAATCCATATTTGAACCAGGTTTGCCCTATCCATAGCTAGAAAACATTATAATTGTCTTGAAACTCAAGATGAGGAATGTTTTGAGGGCAACTAAAATATACAGGTTGATCACCTTTGTAATATTTTTTCCTGTACTAATACTTGGGAGTTACACATTTAAAAGTTGCTTCTGTGGCATGAAAATTGTTATAGTTTAGTTAGTATAGTATCTACATGTATGTCAACAAAAATGATATATGTTTACTGTGTATGTACATGTTTGTGTTTTTTACTCACTTCGCTGCTTTACCATTTATGTTTCTTTAACATTGCACTCATCGCTTCACTGATTTATCATGTTTGTTATCACAAATTATTACTCTATTTCTCAGTTATGATCAAAGCTGCTGAGTCAAATGCCGTGCAGATCCAGCGTGGACGAAAGAAGAAACATACAAAAGATATAAAAGATCAGATTTTAGGTACCAAGACAAGAAGTGTGGAGGTATAAACATTACTTTAGTTTATCATTTCTATTCATCTGTAGCTGTGTGATCTATGTAAAAAAATGTCTCTATAACAATCAATTGGCTTCAGCAGTGTAGTTAGATAGTTCTAACCTCATATGGTTTATTTATGTCTCCAATGATTATATCATTGGTTTTGTTAAATGTAAATATGATATTTCATCAGCCATGCATGGTTTTATTTCCCACTAAATGTCACCTGAACACTTGGAGTTCATGCTGTCTGTTTCTATATATTGTGTCAGACAACGTAAACCAAATTACGCAATGAAAAACTATAGTGTATGAATCTAGGGTGTGTAATTACTGTAAAATCTGTATTAGAAGCAGCGGCTTTTATTGAAATGGTACAATGCAATAGAGGGGATGGGGTTCTATTAGAGCATCTACACATAAGAGAAATGGTGAATTTTTGGTTCTCAGTTTTTCAAAAAAAATGGTGCGGCTTCTATTAGGGATCTGGCTTCTAATACAGATTTAATGGTAATAACGTAAAACCTTGATATGAGTGTAGAAAATGCACATGATACATGTATACAGTAATTGGCAGCTCACATTCTTTGGATTACTAGTTAACCAAAATTATACTAAAGTTCTTTTATTGGCATTTTCAGAATGCTTCTTTTCCAGGATTCAATAGGAAAGAACTTACAGAACTTCCTCATCAACTAGAATCACCACAGATTCTTGACAGAGTCACACATGCACAGGATTTCAAAGTAAATATCATTATCAAGCTTTTTTGTTTATTTATTTTCTCCAATAATAATACTACCCCTCTTACAATTGAAAAGTTAGTACTGTGTAAAGAAAAGTCAACTTCTCTCAAACATTAAAGTCCATCCTGTGAGGCATAGTATTCTTAATGCAGTGCAGTATGATGATTGATAGATAGAAACAAACTTGTAAATCTCAATAAATAAAACCATGATATGTCAACTTGACTTCTAATGTACTAGAAAATTGTTACTTTTTACTAGCCTGGATTTAAGAAATTTTGGAAGAAGTTATTTTTGTCTGAGGCATCAGTAGCAGTTATGCAGGATACTTTCTGGTGGTTTTTCCTGAACAGCTGGGAGGTATGTAATTTACACTCAATCAGGCTGTCATGTGAATGCTTTTGATTATGCCATACCAATGCACAAGGGGGTGGTACTCATAGATTTTTGCAAACTGGAAGCAGATTTTTTTGTAAATTCATCAATGCATATTTTTAGTAATGTTCCCTTGTGTACTATAATAAAAAATGTTGAAGAAATCTACAACAGGCACCAAAATAAACTGATCCCTTATTCATATGTATTCTTATGACTCTCTCATGTGGCATTCTTACATGTAGTTTATCAATGTGTATTCCTCTCTTTATCTCATTAGACTGACAGGAAAGAGGAACAAGAGAAATTGTTCAATAGAATTGCTGACAGCTTTGTTGCATTGTTTACTAGTGTTAATCCCAATATCAAAGATAAATTTTTTGCTGTAAGTATTATATCCATCATATCTGTGTCAATGGATATTGTTTGACACCAGTGCCTGTCATATCTGGTAATATATATATGACTAATTTGACTGTTATTTCCATCAATATGTATTGTTTGACATGTGTCAGTCATACTTGTCAATATATATCATTTGACATGTACAGCTGATTTGCAGTGTCTGGTTGATGCATGAGACCATAGTGACTAAGATCACTATGAAGTTGAGTGTAATCCATCGACAATGCCAAACCATTACCAGTTATTTTGTAGTTACTTGGATTTGATGGAATGTCATTTATTTTCAAAACACAATTCAGATACTGATTTTTTTCCTGCTTGCTCACTTGTTTTGAAGTCAGTTTTATGATATTCCCTGCTTTTAAACATTAGTACATAGTCATAAAAAGTGATTATAAATTGTTATTCAATGTTAAAATAGAGACAGTGTATGCTTATTTCAAGCATTGCTGGTGTTATACTTGTGCTTAAAATACTGTCCAGTAAAAATGCATTAATTTGTGCATGTCATTAAAGGCACCATTTCAGCAGTGAGCAACCAGAAATTTTATAAGCACAATAATTGTTCATGTTTTATAATAACTACATGTAGGTGTCACAGAATGACTGAAGAAAGACAAAATCATTCACAAACATCAAGTAGCATTTATAATTGTATTTATGGAACATGTTGAAACAAAATGCATTTCTCCGGGATAAAGACATCATTGGAAACAAATGAACTGGTGATAAAGCTGAGAATACACATACCTGCCATGTGTAGATTATTAGTGATGTTGTGTGTGATGCTAATTATATTGTTTTGTTACAGGTGTATGCAGACTGTTTAGCACAGTCTATTTATGCAGCATATTTTGAAGCATTCCCCGATTCCCATCAGCAATTTGAAGGAGTATTTAAAACTGAATTATGTGATTTGTGTCATGAATGGATCACAGGTGAGATGAGTTTTATGTGATATCAGTGAAAAAAATAAGTCCTAGTGTACTTGGTTAGCAAACCTGGTTCATATGATAATGTAGAATGTTTGTTTTATTATTCGTCATGAGAATATAGTACAGTGAGGGGTTGGCCATTCAGAATTGTGTATGTCGTGAAGAATCTGCACAGCTGGGAAAAATTTGACAAATAAAATTTACAGGGAACTTACAGAAACATAAAGTTTGTATAGAGAAAAGCAAAAAAAATATAATCATGTTTAGAACTAAGGAAAAAATAAATTACAGTTTTTCTATCATCTCCCCTCCCATAGTTTCCAGTGGTTAATCCCTTATAGTGTTGTGTGTGTTGAATGAATTGACAGACTGAATAAAACTGTCATTAACTGGTTATTTTGCTAAACCTCAATATTTACAATTTGTTGTGGTAACTGTATTGTAATCCATCTCCTCTGAGATGTTATAAACATATATTAGTTTGTTGTATTGTTAGCTTAAGTCAAGAATTGATATACTATAAAACACTGAAACATTGGCTAAATTAAATAATATAAGCTGTGCTATGGTACCAGTTCTAGTGTTTTTATTATACCCATCCTCTATTCAGGTGTGAAACCACAACCACGGTCATGGAAACAGTGGGATACCTACAGGCTACAACCAAAACATATGGCAAAAGAAAAAGAAGAGGACCTAAGAAAAGTAGTTCTTCTTAAAGATGGTCAAGTCAATAGAGAAGGTATATAAATACAGATAGGACTGATGGTTTCAAACTGCACATCTTATTCCACTTCAAAAAATAACATACATATAGTTTTCCCTGATCCATTTAATAGATATGTACTGTATTTGCTTTATTAGTAGCCCTGCTTACATAACTGACAGAGGTTTATGTCAAAAAAAGTCATGTTTTCAACTTTTACAATAAATGCAATTTCATATTTACTTAAATGCACACATATGTGGTCAAGTCAATGTGGGGCTGACAAATGATGATGGAATACTTCTGTCATTCAAATATTGTACTACTATAGGGTAATACATAAAAGATGAGAAAATAACAACATTCATGTTTTGATTGGTGTTCTTTAACAGCAAGTTTTGCTATTGAGTTTGAACTGGCCGCAGAGGAAGGTGAGAGTATGTATGATGTGTCATCAGGTGTACAACCAGGTATATCCAGAGAAATCACTCAGATAACAACCAAGAGTGGCAAAACAGCTGCTGTAACACAACCAAGAATTCCAACAGCTGGTACCAGTCGTCCCAAAACTCAGGTATATATTTCTCTATAAAATAAAACTTTCTATATTAATGCTCCTTTAGAAACTTTGGGGTGGGGTGATTTTTTAGAAAAATAATTTTTTCCCTAATTTTCCATCTAGCAATTTTTCTCCAAAATTGTCTCTGTGCAGATGGAAACCATTTATCTCAGACATGCATGGACTGATCACATTCAAACTTCACACATACATAAAACATCTTGGAATACATATGCAGATTCATTCGTTTTCACAATCTGATTCAAGATGTTGTGTATTTAGTTGTGTATGGACATATTTTGTTCAAACTTACCACAACACTGGACATTATGAGATATTGATGTACATCATTTTGTTCAGCACATCGACTTCAAAATGGCCGACTGGTGGCAATTTTGCTGTTTACACATATATATCATACATCATGCCACACTAATATTCACAGGCATTTGTTTCATGATTGAAGATGGTCAAATGGTGTCCATTTTAAAGGGCGACAGTCGTCGTGCCGCGTTCTGTTCGATATGGGACTCATAGCATCATATACAACGTGTGTAAAATACATTGTTTATTTACATGAAATTCAAACACACGCTGCGCGACGACCACCGGGCTTTAAAGCTAAAAGTCAAACTGGTCAGTCATCAGCATTATTAACCAGTTGATTGTGCCACAATAACTCAAAAAGTTTTTATCCAATCATTTTCAGACTTTTTAGTATACTAATATGTTCAATGTCAATGTATTTTCTGTTCTTTTTTCTGCTATCAAAATTTACCTACGTTTTATCCAGTCACATGATATAGGTCCAGGTCCTGAATTTGAACGTGTACAATTCAACATCACTGGTAGATCACCACTAGTTGCACATTATCTTTATATGAAAGATTTAGCATCAAATGAACACAGAGGAAAAAATGTCAGAAGAACTGAAGTAGCAAAACTTCCATATCCTTTAAAATTTCACACTGTATCAAGGGTTTTTTTAAATTTGTTAACCCACACTCTATTTATTTAATATTTAAATATATATTTATTTACTTATCTAGTTGCTGCATTGTCACTGATTCTCTCTAAAACAGGTTCTAACTAATTTTAAACATTAAGAGCTGCAATTACATTGAGTGTTGATGGCAAACAAAAAATTACAAAAAGGTAAATTAAAAATATAACACAAGAACAAAGGGGTTAATGAAGTTTTCTTCTGAATTCAAAAGCATCGATTAAAAACTGCTTTAGTTAATTTATTATTCATGTACTGTGGAATTATATACATGTAGATGTGAAAAGACTGCTTAGTTATCATACAGAATAGAATATTGCTTTATTACAACGTTAAAGAAAATTTGACAATTCTTTTTTGGTTTCTACACATGTAGAAGGTAATAAAGTTAAAAACAAACAAAACAAAAAGTGTGACAAACAAACAAGAAAAAGTAAACTACTGTGGTAATATTATTTGCTCACTTATTGTATACGCTGTTTTGATATATTTAATTAACCCCAGTAATTGTTGTCTAGTATGGGCATTCATAATACATATAAATTTGTCCTTGTTTTTGATACCATTGATGTTATCAAACAAGGAATATAATTCCTGTACATGTACATGTAGTGTTGTCAGATAATCAATACTACAGTACCAATCAACAAACACAGATATACATGCATGCACCTTAACTTTAATCACTCCTCCAGCACCTACATACAAAGAAGTTATCAAAGAAACTAAAAAAATGGCCAAGACATTGCATATAGAGTACCAGAAGTAAGTAGCATGTTATTTTGGGCTATACTGAGCCTGTACTGAAACAGCAATGAGTTTTAGACTCCATAGTATTTACCTTATGATCTTCAAACTCACAATTTTACTTGCATTCATGTACCGGGTATGTTGTATATATTTGCATGTTTAATAAATCTGATATAATGGGTCACTCATTTTGAATATCTGTTTTGGTTTCACAACTATTTTTTCAATAGAAACTGGCGGAATTTGCGTCTGCAGGTCCAATGCTACTTAGCATGTTTCATTTCATTTGCAAACAAGAAGTCATTTACTTGAAAACAGTTTATTGGTAGCAATATTCACATTCTATATTTATGGTTATAGAAACTATTTTAACTGAGATTCTGAGATAATTCTATTCCTAATCTCCACACATCTCACAAGTAATTATCAAATAGAATGTTGGAATCCCGTGCATTGACAGAATAAAGTTGCATAATGCATATGTGACTTAAAACATGACATGGCAAACATTTCAAATAATCTGTATATAGTGAAAAAGTTAATAGATTTTATAGACACTTTTAAATTACATACAAGGACCAATCAATTATTCGCAGAGTGATATCAAAATATCACATGGTATGTGCATGATGCATGTGATAATAATGATATTTCTTTCTAGGATTAGTGAACAAACAGCTAAGGAGCTTGTTGCAATTGAAAAACAGAAAGTGGAACAACTGCGTGAGATTGAGAAGATCAGAAAACAGTTAATTGAACATAGTGTTGACATGAAGATATTGAGTGAAAAGATTTTGGATAAAAGGGTGAGTCTAAAATATTGGTTATTACGTGTACAGGGAAAACTGACTTTTGTGGAGGCTGGCATATTCAGCACATCAAATTGAGAGTTATCAGTTAGTTAAATCGAGAGTCATACGTGTTCTTGTCTGGTATATACAGAGTGTATACTTTGCATAACAATTCTCAATATCTGTAAAATATTCTCATCACATTTACTGGTATATTTCTCGGTTATCTGAGCAGGAAATGGATTTTTAGCTTTACTGCTATTCATAACTGTAAAAATTATGTTGCCTTTGATTAATGGCAAATCATATAACCAGTGACATAATATTTCAGAATCCTTCAAATCTGTATGTTTTCATTCTAATCAGTGATGGAGTTGCTGCTATTCAACAGCTGATTACAATGTGTCGCTATATTGATCAAATATACATTTTTTCCCCTTCTTTCTGTCATGCTTTTTATAAATTTTGAATACAGGGATTTGAAGGTATAATGGCAGTCATGACGGAAATAAACGATGAGGTATTTTTGAACAGGATTGTGTACACTGCATGTCTTAGTGAATTTAGGGAGAAAGCACTGTGATTGGTCAGAATATGTGGACTGTACACAAATAATGCATGTACCCAGACTTGCACAATGGCGATGAGCCACACTGAAATGCACTGTAGTTATTATGTACTAGATTAATCATGGTAATAGATCCAACCATACCATATATAGATATGTAAACTGGTGTTGAATAAGTATCCAGGTAGTTTGTTAGCAATATACACCCATCCCATTATACTGCCTATACTTCATTTTGTGTTAACAATAAATGCAGATTTGCACTAGAAAAGACCATGATAATTCCTCCAACTCATAGTACTATTCTCACATAATGACAAAGATGAATTATAATTTAATTTAGCATGTTTTGATCTAGTTATTCTGCTTTATAAATTCCCTGTGGTATATTCTTTTTTTTCAATTCAATCTTTTTCTCACTGAATATTGATATTACATAAAGTCCTAATCTGATCCACCGTCCCTGTGTCTGATCTGACAATGTGAAAATGACTGAAGTTTTAAGTTACCTAATTTGCTAATGGAGGAATCCAATTCTTCTAAGTTGTTTATTTAGTAGTCTCCTTTCGCACAGACTTGCAAGATAGTTCAGCAGTCATGATAAAGGTTGTTTTGACAGCATTGTTCCCTAAGTTTGTCTGGAGCAATGACTGACTCAACTCAACAGGTATTTGTGGGAAGAACACTGTAATGTCAAACCTATTGTACAGTAGTTATAGTCTAGTACTGTGAATATAACAAGTTAGTTCTGTATTTTAGACTGTACTTAGACATCATTTTATAAAATTTCTTGATAATTTACTGTAGTTCTTGTATTTTATTGACAGTTCTCAGTTCCTACTTAGACATTATACAAAGCCTTTGTACACAGGATAAGATCATATCTTGAGGGACTCTCCATTTATTTGTCATTATTTTTTTTTTTTGTCAACAGGAAAATGATATACCTTTACCAAAACAGATAAAACAAACAAGTCAAGCTGCCGGTGGCATATTTGGGGATGACTGGTCCTCTTCATCAGATGAAAATGATGACTGAATACTGGATTGCCTTGATGTAATTACATGGCAGCCTAGCCAAACCTGGATTACCAACATATGACTGCAGGGGTAACAAAATGCTTTGATCACAAATACCATTTGGAGACAACACAGAAAGCTGTTTCCCACAATGCAATCCAAAATTATACCTGTGGATGGTGTATTGTTTGAGATATTGTGGATACTATTAGGAATTCACTGTAGTACTGAACACTAAGAAATGCTTAGATATCAAATCCTAGAAGAAATGTTCTTGTTTGTTTGTTTATCATTCATTTCAATGTTGGTAGATAAAATTATTTACCACACACAGTTATTTAAATCTAAAATAAATTTATTTGTTCAATATTCAAAGTTTTACAGAATGATATAGAAATATTTTACTCTACTTGAACCATACATCTATCAGGTGAAATGTCATCCATGTTTAATAACCGAAAAGTCTGTGGACCAGAACCCGTGTGACCCTACCCAACTGAAGTCATGGAAACCCTATACTTTCAGGTTGGGAAAATTCCTTACATATTATATTGTCTACACTTTAAACTTTGGCTTGATTTGCTATATAGTGACCTCGTTTGGATAGGGTCAGAGGGAGCGAGCTTGCTTTTTCAGTCTAGGGATACAACAGGTGAATAAAGCAAATAGTAATGTGTTGATGTATGTTACCAAATCTAACTACAACTCGATGTGGATTTTTTTGGTTCGTGACCATGATTGCATTATGTTTGGTCAGTCTACAGCCAATAATATGTTAAAGCTTTCATTTTGTTTTCCAGCAACTAGAAAAGTACTTGACATTATTTTCTTTAATTAATATTATATAATAGTATTTGAAATTGTATATAATTTGATTTTATAAATATATTTTTTATAAGATCTAGAAAGCAACTTGTTATTTTTTTTGTTTAACCTATCTTCTCACCAACATTACACTATAGTATGTCAGGTCATTGAATGTATATACCCTTTCCCTAAACAAAACAGATTCATATTATATATTTCCTGCATAAAAAACACATTGCCATGATATTAAAAGAGACACACTGAAAGTAAATCAGAATATGCACAGATTTGTACCACAAAATATCAGGTAAGTGATACACAAGTTCCATTAGTCCCACTTTGTGCTATAATACCAAACAGGTTTAGAAAAATATGAATTTCAAAGCAACATAGTGATTGAAACACTGAGGTCACAGCATGGTATTATTAAAGTCAGATTCAGTGAAAACTTTAAAATAATGAACGGTTAATGTATAAACACCCATCACAAATAATAATAATATGACACGAGAAATAATTTGCATTTAGGAAATGAAGGGGAAACAGATAATCATGGAATATAAATTGCAGCACCACTGCCAGGCTGAGTTGCAAACAAACTTTCCTCCACTTTGGCTTTCTTTTGGGGATCATTTGCATAATACCCATCATGTACTCTGGCAAGGAATTCTCCAACTTTACTGGCTGGAACCATGGAAACTGCACAACCTCCCCACCCAGCACCAGTTAAGCGGGATCCATATGCACCAGCTTGCCTGAGGGAAGAAATTCAATACATGTATTAAACAATATGATGATAAACCATAACACTGTTACCATGTGTTCAGGAAGGTGCTATAGGAGGTTACATATTTCACATTTTAAGACAAAATAATGTCATTATTTGCTGCTGCTTTTGTGTACTACTTTGAGCATGTTGTTTGTGAGAATATTCAGATACTGTTTTGAGCAATACCCCATGTTATTGTGGGTATTAACCACATCATATTGTGCAACTGCATCTGCAAGAAAATATTATACAAATGTAGTTGCATCTATCAATATTTTTTCTCTGAATCAGATTTGGAATAAAACACGTCCTGTGTCATTAGTGTCAATTTGTAAGGACTATTGCCAAAACATGAAAGCATAGCATATACACTATACACCGACATTGTACATTAAATCACTTGCAAGGGAAAAAAGATGGCTACAGGTTTGCATCCAGTTTTCCAGAGGGCGCTATTCAGTTTTGTTAAATGAACCTCTGGAATTACGATACAAGATGACGACTTACTGAGAGCCCTGGGCGAAATGTTAAATGTGTCGCTATTTTTACTGATGATTTTATGTGTCATTTTCCATGACAGTGTGTGTCATACATCACATTTTTTTTGGCCCCCCATCACATGACTGATTTAAATGAAATGCCAACTACTCAACATTAGCTTTCATGTAGCATTTCAGCATAGCGTACCATGTGAAAAGTAAAGGACAGAGGGATACATAAAATAGTAGTCATAGGACTCCTGTGTATACTAAGAAAGCAATCTTTCAAGTAAACACATGGCTATACCAAGCCTGGCACCATTTGAGGTTAAGCTTGATTGTACAATATCAAGTTATGTAAATGGAAATTATATAAATGACAAGTGAAAGTCACCTAGTGTGAAATTTGGTGTTGTCACAACAGACATGACACTGTTTGTCGGACATGGCCATGCTGGTTGGCCACAAATGTAAATAAAGGATGGGATAGTACCAAAGTCTATACTTACATACACAAGTTGGTGAGTTCATCTAATTCAGGGGAACTACATTCATAAAGATCTCTGCAACTAGTGTGGCTTTCATTCATCAGGTTGCCAAGCAACATTTTGGTATCAGGTGGTCTTTCATCACAGATTTGCTTGAATCGCAGAACTCTATTTGCTTCAGCGTAGACATGTTTGGCCCGGTCATGGAGTTTGAATGATGTGACTGAATCATAACAATAGAAAGTTTGATAATGATTACAGTGTGTTTATGACATACTGAAGCTATGAGAAACAGTTCCAGACACGTTTAAATATCAGAATTTAGCAAATTTGAGGACAAAAAATGGCTGCCAGTCAGCCATATTTAATCGAGTCATAACGAAATTTGGCGTGCATATGTAGGTCATCATATATTGTCTGTATGCCAAGTTTGAACGAGATCGGTCACAGGGTGTCTCCAAGAAATGGCTTCTTATCAGCCATTATTACATTCCAAAAAAGCCATGCATGGCACAATGTGGTTAACAAATATTCAGTGAGATTGAAAATGAGATTATATAGACTATTAACTAAAAAAAACAGAGTGTAGTGTAGTGCATTACAAAAACAGTTATGGTGTCAGCAGCTATCTTTGATTGGATGACTAACTGACTGCATATGCATATTTATGCCATGGTATACGAAGGTTGAAATGTTCCTTTAGGCACGTCTGAAATATTCTAAAAAAAATAACAAAAAAAGAAGGCCATTTGAATCAAAACATGGAAACAAAGTAATTCTGCATGCTCAACCATAATACCAAATCTGTAAAATAACTGTCAATGCTTGTTCAAACAAGGACTGTGGATCATAATCTTATGGTACGGAGTAAGAGCACACAAAGTTTCTATCAACAGAATCACCTCTGGCAAAAGCATTATGCAGTGCAGTATTTAAAGAAGATAGAATTATCAGTTAATCTGCAAAACTTTCACATGATTATCTCTCATTGGTTAAATAGCACCCTATTCTGCATATGCAAAAACAAAATGACCACCAGTCCATCACAACATCAGTAAATCTGCATGTTTAATCATCACAATTATCAATGTATATCTGAGAAAGTTTGATAAAGCACTGAAATTATGATTATTTGTCATTTTGAATTTAGCTATTTAATCAAAAACAATCAAAAAAAACTTGACATACATCTGTCAACCTATCAACGTACCAGATTTGCTCCAAATTGGTCAACTTTGGAGGAGTAAAACCAAGAAACAAAACAAAGGAAGAAAAGACATACACCAGTAATTCGGCATGTTCAATGAGCATATCAATTATGAAAAAGATTGAACAATGCATGTCTTAAAAAATTACCGGTATATAGCAATGAAATTTAGATTTTTCAATGTTTGTAAAATGTTTGAAATTTGAAAGAAAAGAAAAGCATGTTTGGGAAATGACTTCAGATATGCAAAAATATAATAAAATGGCAAACAATCTACTATTTTGAGCCAAAAGTAAAAAAACAAGACATACTTTTAAAATTAAAATTGATGGCACCCCTATCAAATAAAGTGAAACTATCTATCTGTAAATAATCTGGGTAAACACATGACAAGACAACTGCCATACATTTTTATCTTGGAATATGGAAGGATATTTCCTGGTTTTAGGGTACTGGTCACCTTCAAGATATACCGTACACGTATGGTATTTTATTGAGATAGTTACAATGTCAACAATGTTTATTATTGCATTTGAATGAACTGCATTTAGCACATAGTGCACATACCAGAGAACAGAAGAGAACACATGCGTAGTTCTCAGTTCTGACAACATTCATGGTTTTAATTACAATTGTTTTATATTTAAAAAGGTGGTGAAATCCAGCATTAATTTAAAAGAAAAAAAAAGTTGTCAAGTACGAGATCGCTAAACAAGACAAATTACTTACTGTGCAGGGTATTATCACTAAGACTCATCTGATTTAGATCAGCTTCACTGACTTCAAGAATTTCACAGATTTCTGATTTCAAATATGGTTCTTGATGAAGTATGAGTGTAACCATGGCGATCATATCATCAAGGCTGACATTCAATACTTTTTGCAGATCACCAAGTAAACGTATTTTTTTCCATTCTAAGCCTTTAGACTTTGCAATTATCTGAAATGTACAATATTTGAGACCAGACAAAAATAAAATGTTGGTCCAATTCCACACAAAGTCCTAGATGTGAAATAACAAAGCAATCTGGCAAGTTGTTTTAAAGGAGAATAAAAATATTTTTTTTTAACCAAAAATATACACCAAAATGAACAAATCCCAGAGAGAACAGTGATGGACATGAAGATGAACTGACGCAAGAACAAGAAACAAGTCTTTTGTCTTGGCCTCATTGTCTGTTTTATCAAAGGACAACAAAAAACACACAGTTTGCGATGTATGCGATAATAATAAAATAATAACAAAATAAAATATAATAAAAAACATCCCAGTAGTATGTATAAAATAAAATATATAAAACAAGTCACTATCAATGATGTACATCCATTTGTATTATAGGCATGAGATATTGCATGCTTACTGAGGTGATATCCATAATATCTGTCAACACATGACTGAGATCTGATTTAAGAATGATGAAAATATGTGATTATGATGACTTTTTGCCTTAAAAATGGCTGTCATTCGGCCATCTTGAATCAAATTATAAAACAAATGCATGTGCATATGACCGATATAATGTCCGATATGTACATGTATGTGTAGTTTAAACTACAAGTTCATTGGTCCAAGTAGACAAATCTGAGGTGAACAACATTTTAGACAACTGTAAACAGCACAATTCAGTGATCGATCAAAATTTTAGAGGGGACAACATTTCTTTATAGTAATTAAAAAAGCATTTAATTTTAATCAGGATGGTTTTTATATACATAACAGCATTATTACCTGAGCTGCTAGTCTGCATTCTGCTACTCTGATATTATAATGTGATGATGCTGCTTTCTCCATGACAACGTTACTGTTTGAGATGACAAATACAACACCATTTGGTAATTTCACATCAGTCGCTTTCAATGGATGAAATTCTATATGTTTGGCCTGTAAAGAGAAATCAATTCTATCTATTATGTTAGTAATAAAGTGAAAGACAAAATAATAATTCTGACAATATATCAATATTTTATAATATCCATTGTTGCATTTACATGAACAGGCTCAGCTAGGAATGAAATGGCTTGGTCCATACCACCGCTTTCTGTACCAATGTAACGCTCACTCCATGTACATATTTCTGCCAGGTTTAACTAGAGAAAATAAAATCAGAGAAACAAAGTCAAGAAGTGTCTTAACAATATTAAAACTGTTAGCTGAAATATTCCATCTGTCTGAGATTTGAAATGATAGGATGTATCTGACAGAAGATGTGTGATCATTGCGGAAATCTGCAAAATAAATAAAACTGTATCTACAAATACAGTAAACACTTACTGTTGATTAAATTATAAATTGTGCTAATTAAAACTAAAATCTAGCTACTAATTACAGCTACAGTTAAAAAACACTAAATAATTGCTAAAAATAGAAAATCTGAGATATACTTTCGGAGATAGAATATCCCTCCCTATACATGGTTAACAATTATAAAAACAATAATAGTTCATATTTTGGGGGAAGAAATTGAAAAAATATAAGTTTTGACCACAAAAGAGCAAAAATAAAAAAGTTCTAGAATGTAAAAATGAGTCAAAATGAAATTGTTCTCTTTGACACAAACTAAAAACTACATAAAAATACATGGAGCTTATGGTATAAACATTTGGGAGTAGTTTAAGTTTTACTTAACATACCCCCCAAAAAAATATTATATATTCAGTTTTTATTCATACTTCTATGATTGTTACTAACCTTTGAAATCTTGAGTTTATTTGCATACATTATAATCAAACCAGCACAGCATACGAATGCACTGGAACTAGACAATCCGGCACCTTTCGGTACT